AAGGCCTACGGGGAGCTGGCTGTAGCAGCTGCTGCTGCAGACAGATGTTTAAAGCTGAGGACGCCCTGCAGGACTTTACGGCAGATTTTACCCATAATTCCCTGATGGTCAAGTCTGCACAAGAGATCCGACCTCGGTGACTGTCAATCAAACATGCTTGAGTTTCTGGGTTGTGTGAAGTGATGACCGCCACCGCTGCAAACAGCCAATGGACAAGAGATGGTGGGACACAGGAAGTAGAACCAGAAGATAACAGGAAGTGGACATTTTAAGACAACTGTTTTCTCGTCGACTGAGTTGATGCCAGCAAGAACCTGAAGCTGCCATGTTGTATTTTTGGCATGAGAGCCATATGATGTGGGTCTTTAAGACCCGCCTACTCCCTCGCTCACAGTCATGGTGTCACCTGAGCGTTTTCAATTAATTAAAGCTAAATGTGTCTGAACAAACAGCAGCTACACAAGAACTAGAGTCAACGAGTCACAAGCTGAAGAACATTACCTGAGGTGTGTTTCCAAGTCCTGTTTGTTTACATGGAAGGGGCGGGGCTTGAAACCAGCCGACAGGGGCTGGTCCTGGTCTGCCTTCAGCTCTAAGGTCTACACAGTCTTTGGTGCTGACCAAACACACCTGGACTCAGTCCCTTCCCCTGAGAAGGCCTGAGCACACACTGAACTCTGATTGGTTCATGTGACCTCCTTCATGCAGCTGTGGATAAATCCGGGCTCAGACTGGGACAGTACCGACTTAAACAATGAGGGTTTTGTGGTTTTCTGATGGAGAAGATGCTGCAAGCAGGAGAAGACAGGAACATAAACAGTCTGCATCGTGATCAGAGACAGCTTCCATAATGATCCACCTCTGGCCCTCAAACATTTACGATCATCAAGTAAAGTCAATATAATTTCACAAAGTGTTGTAGCATTTGCGTTCGGGCTGGTAATGAGCGCTGGAATTCAAAGGTGTTGTTAGCATAATGAGCCACAGATGTGGGTCCAGATTAACCCAACCCCGTCTCCTGTTTGGTCTCTCGTTTCAAATAGATTTAGGTATTTTAGCTCATTAGCTGCAGCTTGGTGCAGACTTATGTAAAAACACGTTCAGCTCCTGAAAAAGTCCAAAAATAACACAAAATACCTGCGTCTGCCCACTTCCCCCTCCTTCTGTCCTCTCTGCTTTTGTTTGAGTCTCTGTCCATTCCTCATGATTATCTGTCTCTTAGTCTGTCATTCTCTCTGAGTGTCACAGTTTAATTGGACGCCCCCCTCCTCCTCCTCTGTCCCCCATGGGAAAGTATGCAGACACATTTTGATTTGATTATAGCTCACAAACCAAACTATGCTTCGCTGCATTCCTGCTCCAGCAAACAGATGATCTGAGGAGAAGCGGGCAGGGTGGAGGGTTCGGTTCCAGCTGCCGTCGCTCTGATCCAGATCCTTCACTGTGTCACCAGCGTTCAAACCTACAGTGTTTCAGGCTGTTACAGGTTGTTTTCACGCCATCATTCAGAGAAAAGCCTCAGATCTCTGTCCCACAGTTAATGTCAAAGTCAACCAGTCTTTAGCTGAGGAAGAGCTGAACAGACGGCCTCTAAAGGTTTGTACGAATCAAAGCATTAAACCTCAACTGGAGCTCACAGACAGAGCTACACCGTTAGAACTGAAATGAGGAGTTATGACTGTTCCAGGACTGTTCACAAGTTAACTATGACAGTAACACTAGACAAGTTAGCTATGACTGTAACACTAGACAAGTTAACTATAACTGTAACACTAGACAAGTTAGCTATGACTGTAACACTAGACAAGTTCACTATAATTGTAACACTAGATAAGTTAACTATGACTGTAACACTAGACAAGTTAACTATGACTGTAACACTA